TGGGTTTTGGTGGCTCGGAGTCGACGCAACCACCTAATGCCATCAACTAGGGTTTTGGTGGCTCTAGGTCGACGCAACCACCTAAAGCCATCAACTAGGGTCTAGGTGGCTCGGGGTCGACGAAACCACCTAAAGCCACCATCAGTATAACATAAGCATCAGTATGTCAACATTTTCAGTCTAACATTGAAAGCAAACGATACTAACTGGAGTTCAACACATTATAGGAATACACAACCATTGTTCACATTACATACTGGAGTTCAAATGCACAATCCATCCTTTTCTCACAAAAGGATGAATAGCATAACTACTAGGTCCATAAACAGCCAGAGTTCACAATTAGTACTAGAACCATACATTACACAACCATAATTCTAAGTTAGTAGGTCATTGCACAGCCATCCTTCCCAAAAGGTCTGCAATGCCCACTAATCTCAATTCATCTTGTTCAGTTTTGTAAGATGGCCTGGATCCCCTTGATCTTCTCCTTCAACTTCTCCTCTGCCTTCATGAGCTCAGTAATCTTAAACTCTTGCATCTTCTTCTCTTCATTATGGTTTTCCTTGAGCTTCAGCAGATCAGCAACCTGGAACTTCAACTCTAGCTTCTCTTGGGTGAGCTTCTCCTCTAACTTTGTCAACTCTACATTCTTCAACTCCAAATTCATCCTAGCCTCTCTCAGCAATTCCTTCTCTTGCATATTCTTCAACTTCAGGTTCTGGATGGCAGTTGCTTGAGCACTTGTCAGGTTGCACATGAGTTCATACTTCTGTTGAAGCTTCTCTGTAGCTGCATCTTTCTTTTCCATTTCTGCCTTCATACCAGCAACCAATTCAACTCTGCATTGGTACTGATATGTGATGTTGGACTGCAGATAGCTGAAATCCACAACCCTATCCTCCTGCATATCCACAAGTTGATGCACATCTTTCACTAACTTGTCATAGTCTGCATCCAGCTTGTTCTTTTCTTCTGTCAACTGGTGAATAGTGAAAGCACTTTCAAGATTATCTTTCACCCTAGCACACTTGCTCTCTTCAACCATTAACCAAAGCTTCAACAATGCATTCTCCATTGTTGGGGGCCACTGCTCATCAACCCACTGAACAAACCCACAATTCTGACCTTCCTGGAAAAATTAGAAGGGCAAAATTTAGTACAATACAACTACTAAGAGTACTAAGCAACAGTTAGTTCATGGCAGTACCTAATGTTGGCACTGACATTAACTGAATTTGCACAACCATTTGATAAGCAACAAGAACACATTGGAAAATAAATTAATGTAATCCTATAATGGATGATTAATATATTTACCAGGCAGCAGAGTAACACTCCATTCAACTTACCAGTTGCTAAGCAGCCATGTGCTAAGCAACAATAGTTGCTAAGAATTGACCATTAATATAATGGAATCCTAAATGTGCACTACCATTACTCCTACCATTGAGACTACCTACTGTCAACAGTAATAAGCAATACAATGTGAACTACTTTGCCCAGCTAAATACACTACACTATCCTAGAGCAACAAACTAGCTAATGAGACTACCTACTGTCAGCAGTAAGCAATAGTTACTAACTGGCTCCACTGAACTTAATATTGAGCAACACTGCATTTGGAAAGAAGTGTAAATAAATAACATGTGCACACAAAAGGAGCATATATTTTAGCAAAAATGCAGTCCACTGAACTTAATAATGAGCATTCCCACAATGAGCACTACAGTAGGGCACATATGACTAACAAATTTAGCATGCACATAACTGAATCACAGGTGGCAAACAATACTCTGCCACTTTCAATGAACACATCCAGTGCTTAATCACCAAAGCAAGAAAAATACCGGCTTTGCACATGCTAAGAACCTTCTCCCAATCATTGTTCCTTCAAACGCAACAAGCCTCTCTGATGGCTTCCCATGCTTCTCGCAGAACGCCATCAGATCTAGCTCAAGGCCCTTGTAATCCGGGTCCTCAAGTGAGAAAGGCACCTGCACAATCAAAAGGACAGCAAGAGGACACAGCAAATCAAACGAAATCCTCACAACAAAGACCACCTACACACAAAAATCCCCAAAATTCCTAAACCTAACCCTAACCCTAGCTCCAATGGAGTAACTAACCTGGTTCAGGCCATCGATGGAGGTTTCGGAGTACATGTACGAGAGGCTTGAGTTGTCATCGCTGCTCTCGTCTTCCAGAACCATGGCTGCGGCGGTGTGGTGTGGCAGCCGGCGGTGGCGGGCGCAGGCGACGGCGACGCAGAGAGCAGGAAGAAAGGAAGAGGAAGGCGAGCGGGGTCGGGTCGGGATCTGGCTCGGTCGCACAGCCGCGACTATAACGGTGTGAGCCGGCCTCGTCCTAGTCAGCGCGTAGTCAGCGCGCGGGCATGCGCGCACTGGCCAGCGTGGCGCCTGACGGCAGGCCCAACCGATCAGTTTATCTGTCAATACGTATAAAACACACTTTTAGTCTTTTTTGCAACGGCTCGCCCCAATCTTGGTACTGACACGTAAAAATACCAATCTTGGTACAAATCTGCTTCCAATGCCCAATTGTGGTACTTCTGTGCAATTTACTCAACATGGAGCCGCAGTCGACGCCTCCTGTCCACAGCGAGAGAAGGGGCTAAACCCGTGGCTGAGGACGGCAACCTCCAGCAGGATGTTGAAGGTGGAGGAGAGTGGTGTCTGCGCCGGGAAGATTGGGCGTGGGTGAGGGACTGAGGGGTAGGCGGATCGGCCGCGGTTCGTCCGTGCGGCGGCCGCTCGCGTCCCAACAGGCAGCGGGATGCATCATGTGCTCGGGCGATTAGTTTCCTATTTTCGCGTCGCGTGATTAGGGTGATGCGGGTCATGGAATTACATATTTTCCTCCGCGGTGGAGTACGGTCAGTTAATTTAAATTACTAAGTGCACATAGAAAATGGATCAAGTTAAGGCCAGCCGTTAGATTAAGTTTAGTGGGACTAATCGTGTGGTGTTGGCTGGGTCGTACGGTGTTGTGGGGCTAATTACGGGGTGCACGTAAGAAAGTTCTTGTTTTTGTTTGATTGTTTGATAGTAGTGGTGATTACTGGCTATGCATCTAAAAAAACTCCCTCCCTAAAAAAAAAACAAAAAAACTCGCTGTTCTGAAAAAAAGTAATAAAACTCGCTGTTGTTGCTCTCGGCCGGCTGTAGTGCTGCTGCTCCTTGCGCTCTCCGCCCTCTCCCGGTCTCCCCAATCTCCCCGCCGCCGCGGGCTCCTTGCTGCCTGCGTCCGCTTCCGACCTTCCGTGCTCCGTCTTCTCCCCGTCTTCCCCGCTCCCACCTCCGCGCTGCCCTCGAGGATGGAAGAGCCGCCGCTGTACAAGTTCGGGCCGTATAAGATCGACGCGAGGGAGGTCTTCCACGCCACGCCCCTCTCCTACGCCATGGTCAACCTCCGCCCCCTCCTCCCTGGTAGTCTCGACGCCCTATTCGCCCCTTTCCCTTGCCTCGCCTCTAGGGTTTTGTTTGCTGTAACTATTCAATGCCAGTCTGCCGCTCCTGACTTAGAATCACGCTAGGACGCTTATATATCTCGATGAATCGCATGAGCATGTGACACATGCTTAGAAAAATTAGCCCGCCCTTGCGAATGCGGCTAATGGCACATAAGATTTTTTGTGTAGACCAGATGATAGATGAGAAATTCACTCTTCAGACCACCATGAAAATAATTTTAACACACTGGATCGTGTTAGATAGATTAGATCCCAATTTCGTTTATTTCGGGGAGTTATGCCCAGCTTCGAGAATGGAGATCTTCTGCAGTTCTTTAGCATCAACGTTAACCTGGGAGAAACAAGTAGCGGAACGGGTTTCATTCTTTATTTTTGGGCACATGGATCCCCTTCTCCGAAGCATAAACATTAGACTAAGTACTCTGCAGTCAAGCTTTTTTCTTTGCTTAAGAGAATGCTATGCATCCCTCTCACGGTGCCTTGTTTTGTTTTATCGGCACAGGGTTCCTAGTCATCAATCTCCGGATCCTGCAATGCATGCTTTCCTATTCGTGCCTTCCTATGTAGTTCTTGCACATATAATCCATTTAAGTTATCTGTTTGGACAATTGAAAATCCATTCCATTCAATCACATTCGACTCTTATGTACAAATCACCATGTTCATGAATGGTGGATTTGTTTCTGTTACCATTTTGTACGATGGCGATTTGTAATTTTAGATTTGTATCTTTTGTACTTCTGGCTGCTATTTTGTATTTATCTATGTCAATCTTACTCTGCAGGTCATATCCTTTGATTTGGCAAAGACGTTTCTGTGGTTTAGAGTTATGAGAGTGCTAATGAGGACATGCCTGGATGGGGTCTCCTGGTTTTGTCATACTATCGATTACTTTGATTCACTTGCTTGTTTATGCCTGCTAAATCTCATGGATACAGTCCAAACACTTCTAACAAAAAAGGATGACTGGTTTTTGTTATCAATTGGAGAATATATTGCCGCATATTTTCATAGTCTTTTGCATTGATATATAAATAAAATCGATATATCAAGGATGTCGATACTAGAATCTGGTTTCATGTATGTGAGTGGCTTATAAAAAGTGGTTGAAACATCCGTCATTAATTCTTCAAAAGTAATAATATTAAATGTCATGTCATCCCAACCAATTGATCTTCATCTTCTTATGGTTGAGTTGTATGCAGCAGTTAGTTCCAGTGTGCAACCTATTCATACTGATATATGCACTTCTTTGGTATATAACTTTTACTTGAGGTAATACCCCATTGTCTTTTTTTTCCCTGCCATTCAGCTGTTCACAACATTTATAATTTGGAGTTTAGCATCTATTACAGTTTAAAGTTTCATATGATGAGAACACATGTTTTATGGTATATACTATTTTACCTTGACAATACACACATGTCCTCGTGTGCCCCAAACGCGTGGTGAAACGATTTGCTGATCTAAGTTCTGATGAGACTAGTGATTTGTGGGTAACTGCAAAAGAAGTTGGTGCAAAGCTCGAGCAGTACCACAAAGCTTCTTCCATCACATTCGCGATTCAGGTAAAGTCTATATCTATGTGATGAATAGCTCAGCGTCCAAATTTTATGTAGTTTGTTTCTACTCCCTCCGTTCACAAATACTCCCTCCGTCCCAAAATACTTGTCGGAGAAATGGATAAAATTGGATGTATCTATAACTAAAATACATCCAGATTCATGCATTTCTCCGACAAGTATTTTCGGACGGAGGGAGTATAAGATGTTTTGCCAGTTCAATTTGAACTACCAAAACGTCTTATATTTAGGAACAGAGGTAGCACAATTTAAAGGGGTTCACCTTATTGATTTTCCTGTTGTGTGGTACACAACAAAATAGAATGTGTTAGCTGTGGAATAAGTTACATTTGACTACTGTGGTTTTTTCCTTTGGTTACTTTGTTCACCTTTGCCTTACAAAGTCACAATAATCAATGGCGGAAGGAGCAGCTGCTGAATTATAGCTATTTGTACTTATCAGGATGGTCCTCAGGCTGGCCAAACAGTTGCCCATGTCCACATCCACGTCATCCCCAGGAAGAAAGGAGATTTCGAGAAAAACGATGAAATATATGATGCGGTAAAATGACCTTGGTGTTCCGTTGATATTATCTGATCCAGTTTTCTTTTCTGGTTGATTCTGACATAAGGCTTGTCATTTTGCCTTGTAACAGATTGACGTGAAAGTGAAAGAGAAGGAAATGAAGGAGAAGCTTGACCTAGATGTCGAAAGAAAAGATAGAAGCATGGAAGAAATGGCTCATGAGGCCACCGAGTACCTCGCTCTTTTCTCCTAGCCAGATAGATGTATTTCTGATGAACTCTAATTTTCATCCACTGCCACTCTTGCCTAAATAAGCCTTGTGACTGCTTGTCCTTGATTGCGCGTTGTGGTTCTTATTCTCCACGGACCTGGTAGCGTCCAGTCCAAATCTGATGTGGTGGTATTGCTTCATCGTAAGAATATATCGCACATCTGATGTAGTGGTATCGGGAGATCACTTGTTCGTCGTAACTCGTAAGAATATACTATTGGGCTGGTTATTCTCCCTTACGTGCCAATCAAATTTATTTCCCCATTGATTTTGGTTTTGGATAATAAAGGAAAGGAAAATATTTGATATTTGATTGGAAAAAGCAGAGGGAGGCTTGAGTGCTAGCCAGAGCTTATTGGCATTTGATGGGAGATTTGGTGCATATGTCGTCGTGCCACTTGGCATCAAATGACGGACCATGCACGATTGCACAATTATTGACGGATGCTTCATATATGCTCGTATTGGCATCTAAGTGCAGTCATAGTCAGAGCAACTTTTTTTCTTGGGTGCGTGCAAGAGTCAGTGCTTTGGAAAGTGAAGGTTAGGTACTGGTACCTGTCTATCTTGCGATGCTTTGCAACGAGTCAACAACGAAATTTTTTGTTCGGCAGAAAAGGGAAGGGGGCAAAATCGGTCAAATACAACTGCTGCCAACTCTCTAGAGACGAGTAGAAATTATTTCGACAGTACCCAAAAGAATTGACATCGGTAGTACAAAGAAATGAAAAACAAATCGTGAGCTATATCTGCAGTGCCATTTGGTAGGCATATAACCTTTTTCCAAATCGAAGTAAAAGTAATAGCATGTCGAAAACAGCTAGCAGGTTGATGAGGACGATCGGTGACGAGGGCGATCGGTGTCCCTAGGTGGCGGTGCAGTTGTTGCCGGCGCCGGCGTCGGCGCCGCAGCCGCATGTGCGTGGGGAGAAGGCGCAGACGCCGAAGGGCTTGCCGGGGACGTTGCAGTCGATGGCGTAGCAGCACCGCGTGTCCACGCATGAGCTGCTCGCGCTGGCGTTGCTGCCGCTCCCTGCCGCCGCGCAGCACCGGCACCCCATGCACAGCTGGAACGGCTCGTACCTTCCTCCGCCCGGCGCCTCGTCCCCGGCGGCGGCTACCCTCGCGGCCGGGAGCGCCACCGATCGGTACACCACGGCGCGAACCGGCACGTATCCCGCCGGGGCCGGCGATGGACGCGACGTCGCACCTCTGCCGGCTTGGATGGAGGCGAGGACCAGGAGAAGTATGAGAGAGTTGGACGGCACGTGGTGCGCCATGCTTGTCTTGTGGGCTTGTGGAGGATGAAACTGGGAAGGAGAGGAAAATAAGCAAGCTGCACCCTTTTGGGGACTAGCCAACTAGCCAAGTGACAATGGTCTGTTTGGATCCATGGGTTAGAGTTAGTTTGCATTAGTTTGGACTTAACTAACCCAAAAGTATCCGAACAGGAGGGTTAGATTGGGTTAGATGCATCTAACCCATCTAAAAATCTAACCCACCCAAGAGGTGCTTATTTGGGTTAGTCTTCTCAGGAGCACTAAAAAACACATTTTTCTCTCGCTCTCTCCGCAACAGATCCCTCCACACTTCCTCGAAGCTTCTCGTCCTATTCCTCCCTCCCTCTCACAATGTTCGTGAAGGCGCTTGGCCATATCCGCGCTTCATCTAACCCTGTCATCCAAACACCTCTTTGGTTAGAGTTAGTTCAGAGTTAGTTTAGGGTTAGAATCTAACTCTAACCTCTAACTGAGTTAGAGTATCCAAACAGAGCAAATGGAGTTTGGCAGGGCAGCAACTCCACATGTACTACAAGGAGATCATTTCGGGTGTGTTAGAGCGTCTACAGCCGACAAATCCGGCCTCCTATACGATCCGTGGATACGTCACGTCGGAGGACGCACTCGGACGGCCCCTGCCCGACATCCACGTATATTAAATCCGGACTTTCCAATCCATGCAAATCCATACACTACATCATACTCCTTTTGTTCCTAAATAATAAATATAAGTCTTTTTAGACATTTCAAATGGACTACAACGTATAGATGTATGTAGACATATTTTGAAGTGTAGATTCACTCATTTCGCTTCTTATGGAGTTACTTGTTGGTATCTCTTGAAAGACTTATATTTGGGAACGGAGGGAGTACACAATGTCGCACGTGAATAACAAATGTTGGTACCAAAAATAGATAGTTCTTATATAAAATTTATTTTAAGTGCACAACTCAAACATTAGTTCTTTGGTTTTCATTCTAGGTCCACATATGTTTCACAAGATTATTGAGTAGCTGGGCATGCACATGATGATCTCGAAGGTTCTGATGCATCTGCAGGAAGTTCATAAGCTGATTTGCATCTTGATCTTTCGGGATTTGAACTTTTCTCTCGGCAATTCAAAATCATTTGGTTGGGCAACACCATCACCCTCATCCTCGGCAGCCATAACGTGCAAAATAACACAATATGTCATCAACTGCCACAAAATTTCTGATTCCCACATCATTGCAGCTCCACTAACAATTCCCCAACGAGCTTGAAGCACTTTGAATGCCCTCTCCATATCGTTCCTAGTTGCTTCCTGCATTGATGCAAAGTGGCTTTGTTTGCTGCCATATGGTTTGGATATGGTCTTGAGAAACGCCGCCCAGTGAGGGTAGATGCCATCGACAAGACAATATCCCATATTGTAGTCACGACCACCGACAGTGTAGTTGCACGACTGTGATTCCCCATTACAAAGCCTCCTGAACACGGAGATCGTTGAAGCACGTTGATGTCGTTGTGAGAACCCGGCATTCCAAAGTAAGCATGCCAAATCCATAAGTCATGTGATATCACTGCTGCAAGTATCATGTTGGCCATTTTGGTATGACCTTGATACATTCCTCGCAAACCTTTGGGGCAGTTCTTTCATTGCCAATGCATGCAATCAATTGATCCAAGCATTCCTGAAAACCCTCAGACCTCTTCAATAACCAACAACATTTATGTGTCCTGCACATTTGGTTCTCTCGGATGCTCGGCTCCAAACACTCGCACCATGGTGCGGGCAAACTTGACAATAGTCTTCATCATGTGCTCTCCCCCATTCGGACCATCTCACCAACGACATATGTGACAGTACCAACTGCGAGCATCCTCAGAGTACCCGTGCATTTCTACTTAGCATAGAAACAAAGTTGGCAGCAGCAACCCCTTATGAGCTTGAAGTAGTCATCATGTGCCTCCACTCCCTCCACAATGCACAAAAACAATGGTTTCCGCATGCGAAAACCATGACAAAACCATGGATTATCCGGGAAAGTTGCTTTCAGAGCAAAGTAGTCCTTGCGCAGTAGCCGTGCTCCAGACACCCTATTCTGATTGATCACTCTTCTTCCTTTAATAGAGTCCTTGAAGTTGAGAATATTTACCGATCCATTTCCTCTTGCATGCTCATGAGCATGATCATGTCCACTTCTTCGTCTGAATACAATGAATCGAAGAACTCATCTTGAATCATTTGATCAAGCTTCGTCGATCCATACTCCTCGTCCGATGAAACATCAAAATCATCATTTTCCCTACAAATAAATCACAAAAAACTGGTTCGGAGAATGTGTCGAACACATAGAGCGCAAGGGGCGGCCCGAGAGTTGCCAGACGTACCCCGGCGGCAAGGACGGGACAGAGGACAGTTGTGCCGGTACTGGCGGCGCAGAGGCTCGGAACGATAGCGGAGCAAGGGTGGTGGTGGAGCTGCGAGACGTCTGTCGTGAAGGAGGAAGAAGAGATGAGAGAGCAAATGGATCCGGTAGGTCGAGGGGGCGGATTTGGTGCAATTTATGGTGGGGTAGGGTTGTCGGGTCTGACGTGGCGGACGCGTCCGGGCGCCCCCATATATGTCCCAGATTTGGGATAGATATGAGGTGTGTCGGTCAGCCTGAGCGTTTGAGGCCCGTTTGAGGAGCCCGTCTGGGTTGCTTTTGTGTGAACAGTCAGAAACCGAGAGAAGCTACTTCCACACAAAACAGTTGAAGCTCTATCTAACTTTTATTTAAGTTTGACCAACTCTATGAAAAACCTATATAAAATTCTACAATATATGAAAACCACGAGGCGGAAGACCCAGGCGCCGCCCCCGCATCACCCGCATTTGGCGACTCGGGGGAAAACACCGGCCACCTTCGCCCGCCCCCCTCTTCTCTGCCTCACGCCGTGCCGCCGTCGGATAGCCGGCCGGTGAAGCTGCGCCGCGCTCTGGTATCATGGCGGCGGGCGTTTCCCCCCTCACATCGTCATACCTTCGTCCCGAGTGACGCCGACGGCAGCTCCTCGAGCGCTTCGGTCCTGCGACCAGTGTCGCGCGGGTGCTCTTGTGGACGTGATGGGCACGGGCTGCTCTCCACCACTACGGATCTAGTCGGCGTGCTTTGATCCATGCGCAGGCACCGCGTTGCGATGATATGGCGGCCGGGCTCGGCTCCGGCGTATCGCGCGGGCATCCGACGTGCCCGCTGCTCTTTGCCGGATGCCGGCGGAGGTGGTGGCCATGGATCTCGGTTATCGTCAGATCTGACATCGGCTACGGTGGTGCGATTAGGGGACTGACGGCGTCGGGTAGGCACCCTGGTGTTGCTGATGGTGGCTAGCCAGGCGGCGGCAGGCTAGTTCGGGGCGGCGTGGGGGCCTATTGCCATGAATAAAGGTGGCGGTCCTCGTGCTCTGCTTGCATCACAACAACGTTCGGCATGATCGCCCCCATCTGGTCATTGACGGGTTCCGAAACTGTTAACAGTGGTCTTGCCCAGGAGATCTGGATTGGACAGTATCCGGTCGTGCATGTCCAGATCAGCCTACGAGGTTCTGAGGGGGCATCACGAAGCTCTGGAGTTTGTTGATACCATGGGGCATGTCGGCCTCTCGATTTCCATGGAATAGACGGCGATGGAGAAGGTCATGGTGGCTGAGATCGGAGGATCAGTTAGTCGAACAGTGCCTTGGTGGCGATGGAGTCAACCAGGTGTTTGATAACTCTTAGAAGCAGCACTGATAAGTCGGGACGATAGCATTGCAGTATTTCATTTTTGGTGGTGCTCTTTGGGTGCTGAGTCGTGACTTTCAGGGTGAAAACCTAAGGTCTGACCTTCATTGGTTGTGCATGGCAATTGCCTTGCTGAAGGAATTGTTTTGAGAGTTCGGACTACCTTCAAGGTGAAAACCTTAGATCTTGGATTGGGCAACGACGGCGCTTGTGCGCTGTTCCCTTCTTGAAGGCGTTGCTTTTGGAGACCTCTTATGTTTTTTGGGTGTTGTATTTGTTGGTGGTTGGTGTGCTACTGCTGAGAGGAGTTGATCGCTGTGGCGGGGCCTTTGTTTTTCCTTTTTTTTCTTTGGTTGTGTGCATCCTGGATGTCTTGTGACATCTTGTAGGTGCAGAGACTGGGTATAATTGGTATCTTTGCGATATTAATATATTCCCTTTTTTAAAAAAAATGAAAATGTATTTTACAATGAATCGAATGAAGAAAATTTGGTGTGTAGATGTTAATATATTTTAATATAAGCTTCTTTCTTTTGCGGGAAAACTTTCAATCTATTCATCTGTTGGGGAACGTAGTAATTTCAAAAAAAATCCTACGCACACGCAAGATCATGGTGATGCACAGCAACGAGAGGGGAGAGTGTTGTCCATGTACCCTCGTAGACCGAAAGCGGAAGCATTAGCACAACGCGGTTGATGTAGTCGTACGTCTTCACGATCCGACCGATCAAGTACCAAATGTACGACACCTCCGAGTTCAGCACACGTTCAGCTCGATGACGCCCCACGAACTCCGATCCAGTAGAGATTTGCGGGAGAGTTCCGTCAACACGACGGCGTGATGATGATGTCGATGATGCTACCGACGCAGGGGTTCGCCTAAGCACCGCTACGTACCGAGGTGGAATATGGTGGGGGGGCATCGCACACGGCTAAGAGATCAATGATCAATTGTTGTGTATAGAGGTGCCCCCTGCCCTCGAATATAAAGGAGCAAGGGGGGAGGCGGCCGGCCTAGGAGGAGGGCGCGCCAAGGGGGGAGTCCTACTCCCACCAGGAGTAGGACTCCTCC